TGAAATATTTCAGTTAGTGTGCAATGAATCTAAAATATATGAATGTTAAATTTTCATCATGACATTATGGAAAATAATGAACTTTATCACAATATGCTAATATTTTGAGAAGGACCTGTAGACTAAATTTGATTTTCTTCCCAAAATTATTTTTATCATTTATTTCCCTCAATTCTGCATTTTCCAACCTTTACAATATTGTAAAGTTTGGAAAAACTTGTGGTTTGTTAGGAAAAACTCATATAAGATCACATCAACATATATGAACAAAGTTTCCAGATATTCCACTTTTACAGCAGATTCCTCCATCTAGTGGTGGAATTAATGGATGGGGCAGAATGTGAAAAATTAATTACAAGGATAATCTTTTAGAGCAAAAATCAACATTAAAATGTAAGTTTAAATAACCGCACAGTCCCACTTGATTTGGCTCCGGATCTAGACCGCGGCCCATTATTTTGGGACCTCTGCTCCAGAAAGACTGAAGGAGCAAAGGAGAATAATGCTCTGTGCTAATAGCACTTTTATGCAATTATTTTTGCATGCATCATAGTCAAAATAAAAACAATAAGAACAACTATAACAGTTTTGTAACTGTAATAAAAACAATATTTTACTTTAGCAGCAGTAGGATAATTGTGACTTTTCTGTTTTAAACTAAAGCAATGAGATAAACGTATACATTTTATTTTAAAATGGTTGTGAAGCTGTGATGTATATTATTATTATTTTACATACAGTTATAATCTCATTAAGACTTGGGGCTATGTGGAAACACCAAGAACCACAGAAATTAACAGAGCTAGAGGACTGACTAACCTGTCAGCATTATTAGTGTTAGAAAAATTACTTTGTCATTTCATGTGGATTTATTTATTTATTTTAGGTGCATTTTCCTTTAAATGACCGCACAAAATGTAGCAAGTCTAACCTGCTTTTTGATTTCAAATATTTTTTTATCCATATTTACCAAATGATTTCATAAAACAGGAGTAAAAATGTTACTCATCAAACTGTGATAGGTAAAGCACTTGATTTTTTTTTAAAGATATTTTTCAGCACTAGTGGCCTTTATTTATTTATTTATTTTTTGACAGTAGGCAGACAGGAAAGAGGGGCAGAGAGAGGGGGAGACAACCGGCAAATGTCGCCGGGTCCGGGACCCGAACCCGGGACAGCCGCCTCGAGGACCGCAACCTCTGCATATGGCCGCGCGCTTAACCCCTACACCACCAGCGCCGTGCCCAAGCACTTGATTTTAATAAAAATAACCATTTCTAATCAACCAGTGTATCAAAGAACCTTAAAAGACAAAGGCACCTTGAGGGTGACAGAGTTTAGAACATGCAATTCTTCCCAACTCAGCACAACCCTTCATCTATTAAAAGGAGGAGCTACTTACAGTGGAAATGCCAGATCAGCAATCCGATCATGATAGCAACAACAGTCGATAAGATCACCCCTCCGATCAGAGCGCCTCTCTTCCCCGGACTCTTTTTCTTCTCCAGCTTTTTGTTGTCTGATGCTTGAAGGAACTGCACAGACTCGAACTCTTTTCCCTGAACAAAACATAAAAAGATGAATATGTAAGACAGTTAATTGTGGAGGTGCACCTGTAAAAACTGTTCCCCTAAAGAAGCTAGAAATTAATAACTGAGAATTTAAAAGTAAAATATTCCTTCTACAGGTTAATCTGTTTTTGCTTTTTTGTCACACTTAAATGTCTCAAATCACCACATTTTAATATCAGACAAAGATACTCAGGGAAAATACAAAGTGCAGTTTTAATATGATTTTATTCATTAAGGGGAAAAAAAGCTATCCTAACAAACCTGACCTTATGTGAAACAGTAATCACCCCTAAACCTAATTGTCCCACCTTGGCCATAATAACTGCCATCAAGCATTTGTAGCAACTGGGAATGAGTCTTAAATCGCTGTGGAGGAATTCTGGCCCACTCTTCTTTGCAGAATTGTTTTTTTATTTTAGCCTCATTGGAAGGTTATGGAGCATGAACTGCCTGTCTAAAGTCACCACAGCATCTTAGTCACATGTAAGTCCAGACTTTGACTAGTCCACTCCAAAACACCTTTTTGGAGTCATTTAAAGGTGGACTTGCTGGTGAGCTTTGGATCAGTGTCCTGTCTCCGAACCCTAGTTCATTTGAACCTAAGTTCTGCTACAGAGCAGAATTCATGGTCCCATCAGTTACATCGAGTCCATCAGGGTAACGCTGCCATGTTTGATGGTAGGTATGATGTTGTTCTTCTGAATTCTGTGTTAAGTTTTAGGCCAGATGTAACTGGATGTAAAGGTAACTGAGGCCGGTAGTGGTTTAGATCAATGTGTCTCAACTCTGGTCCTCAGGACATATTGTCCTGAATGTTTTAGGCGTTACCCTGCTCTTATACACCTGCCTTAAATAAATAGGTGACACTTGGTGGCATGCTGAGGAGGTAATGCAGTCATTTGAATCTGGTGAGCTGTGGCATCTAAAACATGAAGGACAGTGGGCTCTGGGGACCAGGAGAGAGAATCACACCTTTAGATATTGTTACAGGTTTTTGTGGTTACCTTCAGAATGAATATTCACTGCAATGTTGGCAGGTTGTTCACCTCTGGGAAGGTTTCTCACTGTTCCATGTTTTCTCCATTCATTAATGGCTCTCGCTAGGGCTGCATGATATTAGAGAATCTTGAGATGGTGATAATAATAATAAATATTGCAATGATGATATCAGGTTATATATATGCCTATTATCCTTTCCCCTCTTCCTTATCTGTGCTTCATACACTCTGTGCTGCTTAATATTTTGGGCTACTAAATTAATGTCCTGTGTAAGCATTTACTGATGTGAGACTTTCCAACTGGCTAAATATTACATTAGCATGTAAATACAAGTTTAAAACCCTTGGAACATCTTAGCCAACAATCACAGCACTCCAGTTTATCATTTGGAGTAGGACTACTGCACACGCTGATATCCCGATGACGATATATTGGCGATATATTGTTCAGCCCTAGCCCTCACTGCGGTTTGCTGAGTCC